CAAGGAGATGTCATCAAGTTCATAAAAGAGGATCTGATCCACAGGTTTGGTCTTCCAGAAACTATCACTTCTGATCAAGGTACTGCTTTTGTTGGATCTCAAGTAGAGGCCTTTGCAAAAGACATGGGATTTCATTTGCTTAATTCAACTCCGCATTATGCACAAGCAAATGATCAAGCAGAGGCATCTAATAAGATTATCATCAACATCCTGGAGAAAATGGTTGATGATAATCCCAAGAGATGGCATGAGCTTCTTTCAAATACTCTCTGGGCATACAAAACCTCACAACGGAGTTCAACTAAGGTGACTCCATTCTCACTTACTTATGGTCATGATGCTGTCTTGCCTATGGAATTAACGGCAAGGTTTCTGCGGATTGCAATTCAAAATGGCTTGAATTCTGGGGAATACAATGAGGCCATGATCATGGGGTTGGAAGACCTTGAGGAAGCAAGGTTGACAGCATTGGATGTGATGAAGGCCCAGAAGCTTAAAGTGGCACGAGCTTACAACAAAAGGGTTAAACAAAAGAATCTAGCTGAAGGAAGCTTGGTTTGGAAGGCACTTGGCAAGAAGGATCCTAGATATGGTAAGTGGTCCCCTAATTGGGAAGGACCATTCCAAATTCATAAAGTTCTTAAAGGGGGTGCTTATTGGTTAAAATCTTTGAATGGGGAGTTGCATCCACGCAAGATCAATGGCATCTACTTGAAACCATATCATCCGACTGTGTGGGAGGCAAGGGATAGTTCTACTTCCACGTCTGCATGATCCAGGTGGCCCACTCATCTATCATTTGCTGCAGTGTGTTGTTGGCTTCCTTTGCTTTCTCCTCCTATTGTGCAGCCTCACTCTTTGCAGCCAAAGCCTCACGTTCTTCTTCTTGGAGCTCAACTAGTAATTTACTTCTTTCGGCTTTAAAGGATTTGAGGCTTCTTCCTTGCTATAACTCTTGGGCAAGAAATTGGCTGGAATGGCATGACAGAGACGATGTGAAAACTAGAAAAACAGAAAGATAGAAACGGTCGCAAATCTGTGATGATGGTTATCGAGGGAGTGGCTGTGTTTTATAATGAATTGGAGTCGATCATGTTTCCAAGTCCTAAGTGGTGAAGAATTGCAATTGCATCGCAAAAGTTGCAATCGGCCATGTTTTCGATTCCAAAACGGAGAAGAAATGTAAACAGCAAAAGGAGACAAGGGCACAAAGAAGTTGAGTACTGTCATTAAGGTCCTAAATTTTTGACACTTACTCTCGTAAGGCCAAAAATTGGGGGGGCAATGTTTACACCTAATTTTACAACAAATGAAGTGTTGCCACATGTCACCCATGATGGTAGATATTTTAGTAGTTGAAAGTTGATGTGGATTTCTTCAGATAAGATTGAGTGGTTATTTCCCCAACGGCAGCAAAACCGTTCTTTTGTTGCGAGCTTCCCGGAGAATAATTACAGCACCAACAAATTAATCAATTTGTTGCAGATATTATGCTGCCGTTGGTCTTTCAATATGCTGCCGCAGATCTCCACCATGCTGCCAAGGTGCTATAAATACCTAATTATAAAATCAAGCAAAGGATCGACATCTCACACAACAAACTCAGCACAATTTCTTTTTATACTCAGATTCGTCTTAGTTTCAAGCCTTTTAATTTAATTTCAGCTCTACGCTTCAACTTAGATTAGTTTAGCAATTCGGTTCTTCTTTTGTCGAATTTATAATGGTGAGTTTCGCTGCCTTCAGTAATATTTCTTTGTAATCGGATTGCTTCCTTTCCTTTATATTTGTTTTCCAGATTTCCTTTAATTTAATCAAATGATGTCGACATTTAATTTCATGTTTCAGTTCCATTTCCATTAATTTACATTTCATGCTGCCAGTAGATTTTTCATGCTTTGGGTTTTATTTACTTTAACTTTATTTACTTTTGCTGCAATTAAATTTCCTTTTAAGGCTCTGTTTCAATTCAGTTTGCGTATTTAAAGTTCATTTAGATTTTCAGTAATTTAGCGATCATTTATTTACCTTACAGTCTTAACTTTTCTTGATTACATTAGCTTTTAAGGAGTCCTTGGAATCATATCCAGGGCATTTTGTCGCATAACCCATTTAGTGCAGAAAGTTCATCCCTCGTTTCTGCCAATCATCTGATCTTTAAGGTGCAATTCACGACGTTCTTCCATCAACTCACAAGTTGAGTTCCACGCTTGGAAAGAAGAGAGGGTCGTTGAAGAAATCTTTCTTGTTTTAAGCAAAGCAAGTGGCACGCCATTTCATTTGCCACGTGTTAAGGAGATTTTTTGGGATAACAGTGTGTTTTACGAAGGGAAATGTGGAATATTTTTTCTTATTTTTGCTTTAACAAAGAAAAATAAAAAAATTTTAAGAGAAACAAATTCAAATTGATTTCAAACTGGTGATCACTAGCACTGAATTTTCTTGATTAATTAAAGCCTACCTAAAGAACAAATCCAAATTGATTTCAATCAAGTAAACTTATTTTCTCCACCAAATCATCGATGAAATATTGGAAATTGAATTGTTCATATTTGGCGATGAGTTTTATCTTTGATATATTAAGATAAGACAAAACATGCATCCACATTACAATATCAAAACTCAGAATTTTTTAAGGGCCTAACAAGGCAGCAACCATTTGAAACAGAGCAGCAAGTTCATTGCTATATATAATTCTTGCCACAGAACAGAGAAATATTGATACCAAGAACAAATCCAATTCCATAGATAAATTAATACATCAATGTCAGCAACCTTTTAGTGAGTTGTAGTTCCCTACGTTACTCCCTGCATCTCCTACTAATTCAGGAAACCGCTGATACCCTATATCCAATCCATGCTCATCCAACATCACACATTATAAACACAAGATCCCAAAACAAGGATAAATCCCAACAAGAACTGTATCTCCAAACCTTCATAAACCAAATCAATAATGATACTAATAAAAAACAAAGTAAAAGTAAAACTATGGAGGGTTTTCCAGACGAGTACCCAGTCATCAGACCTGATATGGTTCATGACAGCCATATCTTCATCATCAACCTGGACCTTCACATCTCTACATAAACAAAACCAGCATAAACTCGTCTAAATTTAGTTAGAAACTATAAAAATAGATTAATGGCATAAAATTACAGAAAAGGGGAATGAAAGCACCATGAATTTTTGGGGTTAGAGTGAATTAGAACATCATCAAGAGGACAGTAGTTTCTGAGCTTATCAATATACCCATCTACCAGCAACTGGACACCTGGGGACCTCTTCTTCCGCTCCGTTATGTTCCGAATTGGCAATGCTCTCTACCCACATAAAGAAAAGCTGATTACTTCTGTCAAAAGTCCAAAACCAAATAAGAATTCAGCTAACAAACATGGAAGGATGCATGGACAGATGGGTTGCCACAGATTGACTAACGAATTTGCATTGTTTAATTGAAAATTTCAATCAAAATGAGATTAAGATTAATTAAATGTTGTAGAAAATGAAGTAGGATTGATTGTTTAAATTCTAGCAGAAGGAACCTGAAGGAATACTTGAGTTGGTCCAGCGAGGAGTAGCACAAACGCAGAAGGAAATTGCCATGAGAAACGAAATGGGTTTTGTTTGCCGGATGGATGATTTCGTTTCCTTGGCTGAAGAGGGATGATGGAAAACAACGCTCTGTAATTAAATAAAATGGAGGTAAATGGAAATCTTGTTATCAACAGAGGTTTTGTTTATGTGTTTTGCATATTGTTTTTTCTCTAGAGAATTTATTTAAAAATTTATATTTTAATTAATTTTTTGAAAATTCAAATGTCAAATTAAAAATTTTATTCATATAATTTATATGTCAAATTTTAAATTGTTTTAGCGGGCTTAACTATTTTGTTATTAGACAAAATTTAACATTGTTAAATATATTTTAGTAAATATAGTTTCTTTTATCAAAATATTTTATGAGTTAGATTAATATAAAAATTGATATTCATAATTTATATTAATTGAACTTTCAATCCAGTAATTAATTTTTAAAATATTAATTAAAATATAAAGTTCTAGATAGGTTCTTAAAAAAAAAAATTTAGAGCACTGCCAATCAAACACTAACTTTGTTTTTCTCTTCTTAATAAAATCATAAGAACTCTGTAAAGTTATCAAGTAAATTTTCAATTTTGTTTTACTTTTATGTTTTGACCAACTAATAACCAATAATCATTGCTCTAATCTCGTTCTTTTTATTACTCCAATTAATGAATTAAGTATTTCATTATTTTGACTTTGAATTTTATAAGAACAAATAACTAATAGTTATTACTCTAATCATTACTCCCCCAGGACATAACTTTTGTCAAATTAGGTTTCAAACTCTGCTTGCTAATTTACTTGAAAGGGCTTACATGTAAGACTTTTCATTGCAATTCCAAACAGGAAACAATAAGAAGAGCAATTTAGGAATGACAACTATAAAATGGCTACATTTTTTAATGCATTGTTTCATGACTTGGGTAGATGATCGACTATAAAATAGTAGCTAGAAATGAAGCACCTCTCAGTGTAATAAAACCATGCCCGTCTCCAATAAGGATTTATGTAAAGAACTGCAGCAATAGTTATGAGCGCCATTATGTAAGACACAATTAAACTCACATAGAAGACACCCATATCGATGAAACCATCATCTTCTCTGCCCCGTGTTGGACCATCCTGGATCATTGGTGGTGGACTTGTTGTTGAACAACTTTTTATTGGTTCCCCACAAAGCAGAGGATTACCTTGGTAACAACTTCCATCAAATGTTGCAAATTGTTGGATCCTTGCTGGTGTCTTACCTGATAAGTTGTTGTATGCTACGCTAAAGGTAGATAAGAAATATAACTCAACAAGCTCGGGAGGAATTTTCCCACTCAAATTGTTGTAGGAAAGATCCAAGCTCTCGATTTGCTTAAGGTTAGAAAATGTAGATGGGATTCCACCAACCAAGAAATTATGAGACAGGTTTAGTACATGAATCTTACTAAGGTGCCCTATTTCATAAGGAATTTCACCAATCAGTTTGTTGCAGGAAAGATCTATTCCAGACATGTAGGTGAGAAGTCTTCCCTTGTAAGAATATGCCATATTCTTTGTTGTGAAATGCACTGGTTCACCAACAGAAAGTGTATTCTTGAAAGTTGGTGGAAGAAGTGGACCAAGAGTAGGAGCAACACTATCATCCTCATTATATAGCTCATCAGTAGTAAGATTTAGGCAAGAGGGTATACGGCCTGAAAGATGGTTCCGAGATAGATCAATCAAGCTCAATTTCTGCAACTTGCATAGTTGAAATGGGATCTTACCTTCAAGATTATTGTTCTTCAAGATAAGATAACTCAACTCACCAACCATATTGATGCAATCTGGGATGTTACCACTTAGCTGGTTGTCACTAAGGTCTAGTGTTACTAGAGAAAAGCTCTTACAAAACTGTGCTATCAGTGATCCTTCTAGCCTGTTTTTGGATAAATGAACATGAAGTATATGCCCTGGGCCGAAACAAGGCGGTAGACTCCCTGAAAGATTGTTATTTGAAAGGTCTAGAATTAGAAGAAATTGAAGCTGACAAAAGTCTATAGGAATTGGACCTTCAAGACCATTATTGGACATGATAATTTCTTCCAAGTAGAACATATTTCCCATCCAGCTCGGGATCCTACCAGAGAGATTGTTATTGCTGAAATCTATTGAAGACAGAAAGTCGCAGTTAGATAAGCTTTTTGGGATACTTCCAGAAAAGTGATTGCCATTCAACTGTAATTCGTCCAAGTCGAATAAGCTAAATTTCTCAGAGAAAATTTGGCCTTGTAAATTGTTGTTTGATAGAATAAGTAAATTCAATGATGAGCAACCCATGGTTAACTTCTCAGGTATTCCACCAGATAAGTTATTGTGAGACAAGTTCAAAGACTGCAGAAACTCCATATCACCAATTGAAGGAGGAATGCTGCCAGATAAGTTATTATAAGATAAGTCCAAAAACAGCAGCAACTCAATATCACCAATTGAAGGAGGAATGCTGCCAGATAAGTTATTGTGAGATAAGTCCAAAGAATGCAGCGACTCAATATCACCAATTGAAGGAGGAATGCTGCCAGTAAGAGAATTTTTCGAAATGTATAAATTTCGTAAACTTGGCAAAGATGCTCTGATCTCCATTGGAAAAAGGCCATCCAAGAAATTATTGGAGATAACTAGATCTTCCAAACTCTCATGAGAATGAGCTGGCAACTCAATAGGTCCAGAGAGAGAATTGTTAACCAGCAAAAGTGTCTTCAACCTTGTGTTGTTTTCCAACAACCAAATGGGAAACTCTCCAGTTAGGTTAAGGTGCGAGAAGTCTAAATACTCCAGGTCGTGTTGAGAGTAGAGGAAGTTTGGAATTGCTCCACAATCTCCACAACCAGACAAAACTAAGGTATTTAGTTGGAAAGTTGGTTCCAAAGATTCAGTGTTGGTATCTTTGTAAAATTCATTATTTTTAGCATAAATATGCTTGAGTTTTGAGTGGTTGAAGAATGGTTGAAGGGAGATGGAAATTTGGAAGTGATTGTCTGAAAGGGACAGGTATTGAAGGGATGTCAATTTGTTAAGGGGTAATAGAGCTATATCTCCAAAAAATTTGTTTGAATTGAGGCTTAAGCTCAGGAGAGAAGTCAAATTTGACAAACATGAAGGCAAGGCTCCCCCTAAATAATTGTTGCTAACATCCAACTCTTCAAGATGTGTCAATTCACACAGGCCTGTGAACATATACAACACTTACAAAGTTAGTCATATAGCTCCATATATATATAGAGAGAGAGAGAGAAAAAAAATAGTAAAATCTGGACATTGGTTCTTATTTCTTTAAATTTGTAAATAACCTCGAAGTGTTAAGGAGTCATTGAGTCCGCAGTCATACAGTGATAGAACCTTGAGAGAAGTCAATGCTCCAATGCCATGAAAGAAGTTGGTTGGGAGGATATAATCTTGCAGAAACAACTCTTCCACTTTGGACAAGTTATGAAAACCTAATAAGAAAAGCAATTAATTATATTCTTGCAATCTTCCGTCATAATTAATAAATTTAGAGCAAAAACATATACATATTTCTAAGAAAAATATTCTAAGAAGATGGAAAAGAAATTACACTAAAGATGAAAATTTACCATAAAAATTTTTAGGTCAATAAAATATAACAAGATGACACATTTTTGAAAGGAAAATTTATAATTGTAATAATAAAATGGAGATAAAGCAAGCTTACCTCTTTTACTCGGGTTCATGTTTATTACACCATATCCTAGGCATACAGCTTTTAAAGATGGAAGACTTGCCAAAGATGATAGGATGTTGTAGCTGAAGTTTATTCTTCCACATAGGTCAAGCTCCTCCAAATGGTGAAGTCTTGACAGCTTTTCTAAATCAACTGTCACAAATTAACAATCAAAGCTTGTTGTCGACCAGCGTCTAATTTTGCTAAGCATATAACATAAAATTAAAACTGTATCATAGTTTGAACTTTGAAGCTACTAAGTTTTTCTAGTTACCACTCAAGGATGATAAGACACTATTGTAACTAACCTTCAAGTGTTAAGGAGTCATTGAATCTGCAGCCGTACAGTGATAGAACCTTAAGAGAAGTCAATGCTCCAATGCCATGAAAGAAGTTGGTTGGGAGGATAGAATTATTCAGAAACAACTCTTCCACTTTGGACAAGTTATGAAAACCTAATAAGAAAAGCAAAGCAATTAAAGCAATTAAGCCAACAATCTAAGTAGCTCAATGGTAATTTCCTTCCATTACAAGTAAGAGGTCTTGAGTTCGAGTTGCAAGGCATGTGGGTAGAGTGGG